CACAATACAATACTTTGACATAATAGAACCTATATGAATTAGACAAGACAAACATAGCCAAATAGATGATATTTGGATACCAACAACAATTCTTTACCAATGTGACAAAATTTAGCTAATATTACCAAATAAAATAACAAACAGCAATTACTAAATACTTAAAATCAACTGGCAAATTAATTTAACTATCAAAACACAACATAGAAAAAGACATAAAAATTGGATATATAAATACAAAGAAATGACAAAAGATACTTGAGAAGACTACTTTCAAGAAATTAATCGACAATTATCTACTATGAAAATCTTAAAGACAATTACAAATACATAAGAACTTAACAAAGCTTGGAATCAGCTTAGTACTGCAATCACAATAGCAGCAAAAAAGCATATATCTAGAACAAAAATAAGCTCAAAAACACATTATGCATTTTCAAAACAAGCCACAAAACTACACAGTGCCCTAATGGAAATTAACAAACTAATACAAAAATTAAAAAATAATAATAATATAACAAACACGAAAGACACAAATATATCTATAACAAAAATAAATAACTTAGCAGAAACACAAATTTCAAGAGTCAACCAATCCAACTTAATACAAATAAATACAATTAATTTTTACAACAACTCAAAGAACATCAAAAATTAATACATACTGCAAGACAAACAGAGAATAACATTGTACACAAAGAAAAAATTAATCAACATATAAATAACTGATATAACAACTTTCAAACAAATATAACAAAAATAATTGGCAGCATATTAAATCAACATACAGATTCTATGCATTTTGAAAACATTAAAGCAGAAGACAGAATATACTTATCAACCAAAAAAATTAAACAAAAAATACAACAACATTATAAAACATGAACAAAATACAACAATCCTAATACTCCTTTATGGAAACAATGGCAAACAGAATATCAACCACTAACATACATACAAGCAAATTGGTACAATAGTCTATTGCAGACTATATCAACTGATGAACTATAATTAGTTATAAAAGAAGCACTGCTAAACAAAGCTTCTAAGCCACAACAAATAAGCAACAAAATGTTTAAACACTTAGAAGATAAAAGTTTACTACTTCTGATAAATATACTCAATGCATATATAATCCTTCAAACAATACCAAAAAGTTGGAAACAAAGTACAGTATACCCTATATCCAAAAAACCAAAGTTCAACAAACAATTAAATCAAACAAGACCTATAACATTAATAGAACATACTAGAAAAATATTTACTAAAATTCTAACAAAAGGATTAGCAATGTCTGTACTCAATACCCAATACTAAATATTCACAATTATGTATCATTACCAAACACATTAACATTAATACCAATACAGATGCTTACTCACATATTAGAAGATGAACATAGCAATAATAACCAACTCTGGCTACTATTCCAAGACATATCTAAAGCATATGATTCAGTTCATATACCACTACTTAAAATAGTATTACAAAGAATAAAAATATCTACAGCAATAATACAACTCATTATCGAAATATTCACAAACAGAACTAACTACATAATTAAAACTCTTGGAAACACAAAAGACTATACAGTACATGATAGAATAGATCAAGTTGAGACAATCACTCTACTATTATGGAGGATCTACTATGACTCTTTAATAACAAAAATTGCAACAAGCCATACTGGATATACACTTAAAACCTATACTGATATACAAAAACCAAACTAGTCTGTAATTAAAAAGAGCTTTTTAGTACTTGCATACATAGATGACACATTGTGGATTGCTTTAACAAAAGAACAGCTACAAGCAATATTTAATACTGCAACAACTTTTTTTCAGCTAACAAATATATAAGTCAATCCAAATAAATCCATACTAGCAACAATAACAAAAATTACAAGTCTAGAAATACAATTTGACAACACAATTATCAAATCAATTGACACAAAAGCAAGTTTTTGCTTTCTTGGATGTTGGTATATAACAAGTAAAAAACATACATCAAATCAAAAAATAATAAAAAAAGAAGCAGCAAGTGTATTAAAGAGACTGCAATGAACTCAGATCACTGACAAGCAAGCAATATACATAGTGAATACAATAATTCTCACAAGAATCACATATCAAATACAAAATACAATTCTGCCAACAACAACTTGTAAACAAATAACAAACAAGTACACAAATATTATAAAACACAAAGCTAATTAGCATCAAGTATATCTAACTCAACAATATACTATTATAGACTATACAGACTTAGAACAATAGAAAATATACAAACTCAACAACATGTATCAGTAATAAGTTATCTATTTAACTATTCTTTATTTAGCATATCATCATTTAAAATATAACTACAACAGCTACAGAATGCTGCTGCAACAAACAAATCAATCCTTTCATTATATCCAAACATCTTTCCAACAGCAAAAGCATATACAACAACAGCAAAAATGATAAACACCTTCCATATAAACAATATTATATTTAATAATCAAGTTAACTTATGGCCAAAACTGCTAACAACAGTAGGCACATTAATCAACATCATTCTAAACAACATGTCAATGGCATGCAAGATTAAAAATATACTAGATAAAATAAATCTGCACTACATAGAACAAGTAATACAAAGGGATCAAACTTTAACTCAAACATGACATGCTTTGACATATATAATACAAAAAATACCTAACCTAGAGGCAGACAACCAAAATGGTTTAACAAACTAATATCAACAACAAAAGACTGGCTTCAACACAACAGTACAATGCTCATTCAACCAAACCTATTTATTAGACAAAACACTACATCTGAAAAGAAGAAGTGCATAATATATGAACACAACATGATTGGAAAAATAACAAGTATAAACAAAAAACACATAAACATTCAACATTGGGTTCAAAATAACTCAGACCAACTGCAACAATGCCTAGACTGCAATCATTCTAACAAAAAATCAAAGAACAAGAAATGCAAAATAAAAATACAAAGGGATGAGGTCCTGTAGCCTAGTAGTCTAGGCGCCCCTCCCTCCACATACAAGGTCGATGGTTCAATTCCAGCTGGAGGCAAAACTCTGTAATCTTTGAAAGCATATGAATGTACACAAAGCCCTGTGGCTTAAGTCTATGTGAATAGAAGATCGGTATATAAGGAAGTTCTCGGAAAGAAGTTTCCTGATATGGAGAGTTGGCATTCGATGTGAGAAAAGCAGTGAACATACCAGAAATGGAGAGAAGGCGCACTAGCGAGTGATACAGTGAACATAAAAGGAAACTATAGAAAAGGAATAGACTTACTGAAACTCGAACATCTCTGGTACCAAAACCGGTTTAGTGAATACGGGATACACTAACATGGATAAAATCTAAGGAGGGTAATCTTGGTACCATACTTAGTAAGTCTGTGTCGAAGATAAATTCGAAGAACTATAGATACTCGGTAACATTTAATGAGGTGGTATCTTGATATAAATAGTAATTAGATAGCCCTAATCTGGTATGTCCATGTAGTAATAGAAGGTTGTAATGCATAGGATTGAAAATCAGTAAGTTTAAATAGGGGATTCACAGGCAGATCTCAGGTATGGTAGCTAGTAGGTAACCCTTGGGTGGAACCTTTAATTAGATAATGACTAAAGTTATACGCGTGGCTAGTTATACTTTCGTCGATAAACTATGTATTTATTAATAACTAGATATTACTCAATAAAAGACAGACAGGCAAGATTGCTGCTTATAACACAAACAAAAAAAAAGCAAAATAAAAATACAACAACTTGCAAAAATACTTAGAATACAAGTTGATTATAAAAAGCAACTAAGAAGCTTAAAAACAGACATAATATACACAAATAATGAGTATAGAGAAAACAAATACAAAATACCAAAACCAATTTAACTAAATACTAACACTTTTAGGGCAAACTACAACAATATTAATAAAGCAATATCAAACCCAAAAGCAAGACAAAGAATATAGAACCTGCATGAACAAATAAACAGTCTGCATCTAAAAAACTTTGAAGTTGCACTAAGCATACAAACAGAAGAAATCAATAGTATACCAACAACAACTGCACATTGGTAGATAACAAACAATGAAATACAGCTATACCACACAACTAACAATTGGCCATCAAACCAAAAAACATTATACAATGCAATATTATACATGATTCTAGCACTACCACAATGTATTAATATAAATATACAATGCAACTACAAATTCACAACACACATGATACAATTAGTAAAAAACACCCCAAGCTAAATAATATAACACAACTACTTAGAACAAACAATAACAATGGATATTAACACTAAAAGTACTAGTAGCAAGAAAAAATATAACATGGTCAATACAATACAACCAACATACAGATAAACCCACAATAAGTACAGATCTGTACCAAACTGATATTATATACACAAATATAACACAGGTCGAACAAAGAAATACCAGAGAGGTATCGGAATGCCAATAGTTACCGAAAATTTACCGATATGGCTATGATAGTATCCGGTAAACGTAACCAATATTTTACTGATTTGGCTACTATATTTGACAGATCTTTGGCTAATTTCGGGAATCTATCGGTGCTATTCTAAACTTATATCATAGCCATATCGGCATTTTTGATTGACATTTTAATTTTCCGATAGACCTTCTAATTTTACTATATTACAAATAACTGGATAAATTTCAGAAACCTATCGGGTTAATTACAGATGTATACCGGTTTCCGATACAGCTTTTGATTTGATTTTCTATTATCGAACTCAATTCTGTAGTTTTTATTAAAGTCACACTAGAAATTTTAAAGCAATAGATGACTAAATATATTTACTATAGCAATAGCATAATTTTTATTATATATATACATATATTTATATCGCTATGCTAAAAGCAATTATCAATGTAGCTATATACTAAAGCTATCAATAAATTTGATTGATTATATTTTTTTCAATGCTATTCTAAAAATCAATCGACTACTTCATTATCACTACCAGTACCAGTATCACCTTCTTCAGTTCTTTCGTTGAAAACTTCAGTTATATCGGCAGCTTGGCTGCTGCTTGCAGCAGCATTTTCGTAGTATTCGTCTCTTTCCAATTCTTCCATTTCTTCTTCTTCTTCGTCGGAATGGTAAGAAGAAGAAATGGCCCAAATAGGAGCATCAACTGGTGGTTTAGATTTGTCGAACCATCTGCTGTCATTGTGCCATCGTTTTCTGGCACATTTAATATGCGAAATTTTTTCTCCCACTTTATCAGTGAGTCGCAAAATCTTTTTCACCTGATTTACATAAAATAAAGAAATAGAAAATGTAAATTAATATAATTATAATTATAATAACCATAACAATAATAATTGTTTACCCTACGTGATCTCCAAGGCTTATCGTACACATGAAACACATGATAGTCATTTTCATTTTTAGATTCCAGACAAACCTTCATTCGATGTTCAGCTTGTGATTTTTCATAATCGGTTTCGGATATTTCATCCGAATGGTATTTACCATCATTAACAATATCTTCAAGGTCTTCTTTAAAATCGCCTCAACTCATGGAAGGGGCAAGATTAGCGAGATTTTTATCTTTGGTATTAAGCATATGGTGTATGCCTCTGATTCTTCTATTTTTTTTCTAGTGTAACGGTAATTAATATCAGTTGATCAGTAGTTTATTTCTATTATACTGTTGCAAGTTATTATATTTGTATTTTCGATGCTTGTAGTAATCAGAATGGATTTTTGTATAATACAAATATAACAACTTGCAAAGTGCCCAAAACTTATTTCGATTAAACGGATAGGCCTATACATACCGATTGATGCCTACCGTTTACGCCTACCCTCTTTTTATTTTTCACTAATCTTTCGGAATTATTATCGATTATTCATTTTTCCTGATAATGTCGGTGAAGGCTTTTTAGGACGTATTTTAATTCGCTCAATTTATACCTAAAATTGCCCTCTAGGGCCTTCCCAATTGCTGGCATAGTTTTTGTGGCCACGTAGCGAGCTATTTCACTCCAATTTTTTGTATAATCCATACGTAACCTTTCGTCAAGGCCATCTGTTATTTGAACCACCTCATCCTGCACATTAAAATAAATATTCATTAAACCAATAGCTCTATAATTACTTTTAACATAAATTCGATTTTCAAATGCTGATACATACATAAAACAATTTATATTGCTCTTCATCCATTTCTTCCAAGATTTCACGTGACCTTTTTTGGTAACCGGTAGGTGGTTCTGGAGATACTGATGGTTTTTGCCGATTATTATTGTTATTACCACTGGCTTGCTGCTTCTGTTTACCTTTGTTTGATGCGGTGGTTGTGGATGCATTTGCTGTGGTAGTTGCAGATGCAATATCAGTGGTGGTGGTTGTGGATGCAATATCTGTAGTGGTAAGACTATTGCTGGTGGCGTTATTAGGACTATTGGTACCATTTTGGGGGGTGATGGTACTGTTACTGGCATTGTCAGTGGTGGTATTGCTATATTGATAGTTTTTTGTGGTGGTTCGATAATTGTTACAGGCATTGTTGGTGGAACGATTATCATTCGTTTCATTTTCCAGGTCTGTTAGTCCACAGTCCTCTAGCGAAAATGATAATCCAGTAGTACCAGTGGTTCTAATGCTTTCGTCGCTTTAATAATTATAGACATTGTTACCTTGTTCTTGTATGCTTGAAGTTGGAGGTCGGAAAGCTTTTTTTAGTTCTTTAACTTTGCTTATTAACGAATAAACTGCTTTCTTCAAAAAACTGATCTCTAGTATTAACAAAATAAACTGTTAGACCTATCGGTATATAAATAGCTTTATTAAAAAAAAAAGTCTTAATAGTACCTCTATTACTTCTGTCAGGTGTCCTAGAACGTCTATTGGAACGTCTATAACTTCTTTCACGAGAAAGAGAGTAGAACCTGGACCTGCATGTAGATCGTTGGTATCGATTAGAACAAGGTGGCGTTGGTGACCGATTATGGCTTCGTGAAGTAGTTCTAGAATGATTTCAGCTTCGTGAAGCTGTTGAATGATAGCTTTGTCATGGTGGCATGGAAGGAGAAACTGATCGACGTCGAGATACTATTCTAATTTTTTGGGCGCTTTTTTCACGCATTTTGTTTTCCAAAACAAAAAAGAACAAAAATGGCAAAAGTTTTTTAGGCAAATAGGTTTTTATTAATATCAGTTGTTCGGTTGATTTAAAGAAAGAAAGAAAAAGACAAGAAAAATGGTCCTTATATAATAGCCTACCTTAGATTTTAATATGTAATGCTGTTGTATCTAATTAGGAATGACGATATTATAGTTACTACTAAATAAAATATAAGCGAAAAGAAAAGTATGTCAACTAACGTGGCTCAAATAATGTATGATATATTATCGACGCGAAAGCTAAATTCTATTAACGTGTACTTAAGTAAGATATGATATATTATATAAAAATAAAGAGTTAAATCAGTTAACGTAAGCATAAAGAAAGCATG